CTTGCTGTGGGAAAGCAAAGTGGAGGCACCCAGCCCAACAGACAGGAATTCACGTGTTTAATGCCAGTTAGATTGCTTTACATGGAAAAATTAACACTAGTTTTTTTCCCCCCCTCCATACGATGCTTTATACAGAACAGTGCCACGAGGTTGCAGATTTGATCACACAGACTCTGGGAGGACCCTTTGCTCAGCCCGCAGAGCTCAGGGCTTACAGGTCACGGGCCAAAAGCACGAGCTGAAGTGAGCTTTGCTCTTTTCCCCACGTTAACAGGGCACCACAGTGACAGTGTCACACCCCCCTGCCGTGGGACACCTGCAGAGAGCCCTTCTGGGGACGCCTGGAAGCTGCAGGTGGGGAGGGAGGAGGGGTGCTGCAGGTGGGGTGGGAGGAGGAGTTTGTGCCACCATCCAGCAGCTCAGCCCATCTCTGTCCTTGCCACGCTCGCGGCCGAGGCCCAGCAGCTGTGGCTTGGCAATCACCAGCCCTCCCTGGCAAGCGTGCCAAGAGAAATCACGAGGAGCCAGCCCGCTCCCAAGGCAGCTCCAAGGGGAGGAAAGTGAAGATGTGGTTTGTGAAAGCCCCCGAGAAGAGGAGCCTGATGCCCCTGCAGCACCGAGCTGTGGCTGCAGCACAGGCCCAACAGTGCTGCCCCCGGCCCAGCAGCAGCTCCTGGGACCCCTCTGGGGCAAGCACCCACGTTACAGGGGGAGAGACAAGCCCACTCCTCCATCCCCACCCCCACGGGTGTCCTGGGGCAGCAGGGAGACCCAGCAGCACCACACTCCCCCAGTGTGCAGCCCCCCACCCCACGGCTGACACCTCCTGTACACCCCTACCCCAACCATCTCGTTCTCCTGGGAGGAGGAGGCAGCATCTCCTGAGCACCCAAATGTTGGGATTCAGGCAGGGGAGAATCCACAACAGACAGGAAAATCCACAGCAGCAGCTGCCACCCACCTCCACCCTGGTGTAAACACCCCTCAGCCCCAACTGCTGCCCCACGGGGCAACCTCCCACAGGCCAGGCAGCCCTGACAGCACCCTGGCTGCTGGTGGCCCTTCCCTTCACAACTGCTTGCCAACTTCACTTCAACAACTCCTCAGTGCTGTGCTGTGCTCCCTCCAGGCTATGAAGTGTGCCAGTGCATGTAACAGCAGCACCAGAGGGGCTGGGAGCCCACTGGATTTTCAATCCAAGCCCTGTGCAAGAACTACGAGTTGTGCTGAAACTGCCTTTCAAAAGTGACACTGAAATCCCATTTCGGAGGCAAGTGAGGCTGTAAGACAACGAAGCAGCTGCCAGTTTGGGCTCTGGAGACTTGGTGGCTGCCAAGGACCAGGCAGCTCCTGGCAGGGGAGCTCCTCACGGGTGCCTCCACGTCCCCAGGGCATGGAGAGATGGCACCAAGAGCCTGACCCAGGCACTGCTGTAACAGCACCGGTGGCCAAGGCTGCAGTGAACAGGATGGCACCTCCCTGCCCTGCTCCCTGCCAGCCTCCCCACACCTCAGCAGCTCACCCTGAGGTTCTCCGTGGCACTGGGGAAAGGCAACCCTGCTCCTGCCACCACCCCTAGTGGCTGGTGTCAGGGAAAGAAGGGGGAAAAAAAACCAACAACAAAAGAAAACAAACCAAAAAAACACCAAAACAGAAGAGTACAGCACTGCCTATGCCATCTACAGAAAACAGGTCGGGGTCTATGTACAGAGCCAGGAAAACCTGGACAAGAAGAGGGAAGAGCAGGGGAGAGGGCACGAGGGGCAGAGCGTTGGCACGTCACAGACAGGACAGGCTGCTGCAGGGGGCACAGCTCCTTAAATTAAAAGCCACACATACACACAAGTGCTTTGCTTCACGTCCCACGGCACTCACCACACAGGCTCCAAGCACACAAGCAGG